AGAGCCCTTTCACAGGCCCTCCTGCCAAGCCGGGTCTCCCCCATCCTCCACTTGCACCTTCGTTTTCCCTACTCAGGTGCGGAACTTGATGTTTCTCCCCGTTCGCTTCTGTCCTGCGCATGCCACCCCATTGTTCAAGCCGGTCTCGAGGCCCTCCTGCCTTGGTGTCATCTGCAGGCTCGATAAGGACCCCCTCCGAGCCATTGTGGCCCAGCGCCAGGGCCAGGCAGAGCCCTGTGGGGCTCCCCTCGGTCCTTCCCTCCAAGCTGAAGCAGAGCCCTCCAGGAGGACCCCTGGGCTGAGGTCATTCAGCCCCCTCACAGTCCATCTATCAGTGGTTTCCGCTAGCCCGCCCTTTACCATTTTATTCTGCAGAAAAGCAAGAGGCACTACGTTGACGGCTGGGCCGAGGCCCACTATGTCTACAGCCTTCCTCTAGTTTGTTTACTGATTTCCCTTCAGAAGACTTGTCTTGCTATATGCTGTTTTTTCTTTCGCTACCACTGCTGATGCAAATTCACGCAAACTTCTAATGATGCCTGCATTTTCCCAAGGTGGTCTGTTACGATCTCCTCTAGAATCACTTAGATCCCTGCATCAGCCTGACCAGTCTGTAGTTAGCCGGGCCTTCCTTTGTCCCCTTGGTTCTCCGGTCATCTGGCGTTTAGCATTTCAGGATTTCTCAGAGATCCTGGCCGAAGGTTCAGGGGGCCGGGAGCAGGTTCCTTCCTTCAGGGCTCTGGGCAGCCTTGCTTCCAAAGGAAGGACCGGCTTGCTCTTTGTGCCCTCCCGAGCCTCAGAGGCCCTGGACGCTTGACCTGGGGTGGGCTGGAGGGAAGGGGCTGCCGGGAGAAGCCTGCCTGCCTGCCTTCCTGGGGGCGCGGACAGAGCGGGAGAGGCCCGTGACCCCCGGCTGCCCTCCGTCCCCGCTCAGCTGGCCTCCCCGACTGGGGGCCGGGCCTGAGATGCTCTTTTGGTGCCCCCCAGTACTGCATCTGGATCGACGGCCTCAACGCCCTGGTGGGGAAGGACATGGTCAGCGAGCTGACCAAGAGCGACCTGGACACGCTGCTGAGCATGGAGATGAAGCTGCGCCTGCTGGACCTGGAGAACGTCCAGATCCGGGAGGAGCCACCGCCTATCCCCGAGGAGCCCAGCAGCTACGACTTCGTCTATCACTACGG